GGAGAATGTAATGTCACCAGGCACAATTTAAATAATATAATACACGTGTATGATTCTGTATTGATAATAGGCAAATAAGGGAAATTGAAGGACAACATAGTAAAGGAAAGCAAGAAGAAAGGACTATCAACTGTAAGAAGATAGAATGTTTGGTCATCAATTAAAAAAATACAGTTCGAGATTTGAGTCAAGTATTTAAAAGAAAGAACAATTTATAAAACAAAATTGTTTAACTCCCAAATATCTGAGAAGCTTACATTTGTTTACCTAAAAACCCTTCCGGCTCCATGCTTTCCGGGCAAATTTGATCTTCAAAAATTTAAATGCAATGTCAATCGTTATCTACCGTCTTCCTGATTACTTACATTTTCTCTCCTTAGTAACGTTTTTTAGTTTTCTAATACTTTCATATCCAGTAACCACTTGTGCCTTAGTGGCTTTACTTTACCATGTTGATGAGAGATAAAGAAGAAAAATTGAAGGCAACCAGAGACAGCCGGAGTTTTTAATTATACTGCTAGATACAAGAAATGCCAGAGATTGAACATGTAAGAAACGAGGAAAATAGGAACTAAACTAAAAGGACACATATCCTTACAATCCGGAAACGACAACTGAAATTTCTTTGACAGATGATGAGGAATGAGGCCTTGGAGAATTTAATGTCGCCTGGTATAATTTAAATGTTATAATACACGTGTATGATATCGTATTGATGACAGACAAATAAGGGAAATTGAAAGACTAGATATTAAAGGAAAGCAAGAAGAAAGGACTAACTATCAACTGTAAGAAGACAGAAAACCTGGTCATCAATAAATAAAACATGGTGTAATTGGGAGAGACAAAATCAAGCTATACAGGAAAGTTTTTTTAACTCTCTTCATATGTGTAAGCTTACCTATGTTTACCTAAACACAGTTCTATGCTTTCCAGACAAATTTGATCTTCAAAAATTTAAATACAATGTCAATCGTTATCTACTCTCTTCCTGATTACCATTCTATAGTTTTCTCTCCTTAGTAACGTTCTTTTTTTTTTTGTTTGTTTTTTAATTCTTTCACACCCAGAAACTCCTTTGTGTCTCAGTGTCTTTACTGGTTTGCTTGAGATAAATTCGATTAAAAAAATAATTTTAATTAAATTTAAATCTTGAATAATCCTACGCATTCCTCAAATTCGTCCACTCAACCTGTTTTTTTTTTAAATATGTGAAAAAAAATTCCAACCTCATTAATATTTATGTGTTGATTCAATACTCGATAAATAGACGCCTGGGAAGCCACATTAAACCGGGTTTTTGCTATATTTGCTTTTATTGCTTAATGTCTTAATATTGTTCTGCGACTGGCCTCCTGAATTTGCCCTGGGGTCAAAGTTGCAAAACATGCCGAGTAGAGTGATGCCCCGAACAACCGCTTATAAAAATAGCTTGCTAATCCTAGAAATTGAGTACATATTGAAAGTAAACGGTAACTGATAGCGGAAGAAAATATGAGAGTAAAAAACTAAAATTGGTTGTTTTTGTTTAGCTGCATATCAACACCTCTATGGGTTATTTAATGCCGAAATCTAAATATGAAACTTCAAACTTCATAATTCAGGAGAATGACATTTTTTCATAAATCACTATTATTCTTTTTTTTTAAATTCTTACAATCTACTTTCGGCTTTGTGTCACATCGAAGCTTTGATTAGCAAATCATTATACCCAGGTTCTCTTACTATCACCGAAGTTAACCAGCGTTGGGAATATCACCTGGTACGATATACAGACGGTACAATGGATAACGGCTCAAAATTGGAGATCGGAGATCCGAGTTTCAATTCGTTATATACACTTACACGGAAATATCCTTGGGAAAGGTATGAATATTCCTTTTCTCTTTCCAGCTATGGACTGATTAATTATTAATTCATTATTATCTATTTATGTTCATGTAAAATATTGTACGACATTTTAACGAAAGTTTTTATCATGCAAATTCAAAGGAATATTTTTTATTTATCAAAGTATTTTCCTTTTTTTTTTCTTTAACCTTACACAAACTTTCAGATAATTTAAGTATTCCTCCAAAATAGGTTGACACAAAAAAAAATTCCCGAATAAATCTGAACGACATTCCTATTCATTTCAATTCATGGTATCATGGTTGTTAGCAAAAGGATGAGGCCGAAATGTCAATTGCAAATATTATGTATATGTAAAATAGTCCGAAAACTCGCAATAGTGAAACATCAGGTTCATTTCTATTCTTTAAGATCGGGAAAAATTAAATAGCACCTTTCTCCGAAAATTGAAAGTAAATTTTGTAACTGAAATTAGTAGAAAAAACACGGAAAAGCGAAACATCCGATTCATTTCTGTTCTTTAAGATTGTGAAAAATTAAATATTTTAGTGAAATATATGTACAACATTGAGATTTAAATGGATAATATTGTAAAAGATAAAAAAAAAATTACAGAGGTAATCCTGTACTACGAGGTCGTATTATACTAAAGAATGTAATATATTCCCTGTTTTAAAGCTTTAGAAACACTCTGTCGTATTATACGCAAGTCGTATTATACGCAAGTCGTATTATACACAAGTCGTATTATACGCAAGTCGTATTATACACAAGTCGTATTATACGCAAGTCGTATTATACGCAAGTCGTATTATATGCAAATAAATACGTTAAATGCTTTTTAATTCAGTGCATCCATTGCTCCTGCTTTCTGAATGTTGCTAATGCTCTTTGTTATATTTGTTATACTTTTTACCCCCATTTCGTTTACTCATTTTGGCCAGAGGATCTTTTCTTTGAAAATATTTTATTGCCTTTCAGGTCGGGTAAACCCTTTTGAATTCTGTATATTCAGTATCTGACCCCCTTTACGACAGCGAATGTTGGACAGTATCCTCAAAGATGAAGAGACTCGAAGCAACGGAGGTATGGTTCTACAGAAGGATGCTAAGGTTGACATGGACCTAGCGTGTGAATAACGATGAGGTTTTGGAGAGGATACAAATAAGACGGAAGCTTTTACTTAGCATCAAGAAGAGGCAGCTGAAATGTCTGGGACACGTAATGAGAAAAGAAAGCCTGGAGAATCCGATACTCACAGGTCGAATAGAGGTAAAGAGAGACAAAGGAAAGCAATGGATGACATACCTATCGGGCTTAAGCAAGTGGATGACAGGGCATGACCTGGGGGAAGTAGCAAAGGGACAAAACTTATTGAGAGCTACAAGATATAGGAGGAAGTGGAGAGCCATGATCGCCTACGTCTGGTATGCATAGGAGATGTGCAGGATGTGCCTGCAGCCTCTCATTTTTAATGCGTTGTTGTTTTCTCGTTGCAGTTCTGCTACGACAGTAAGACATTGATAAGCACATCTTCCTGGGAGAGAAAATCTGTTTTTTTTCTTCCTGGTTAAATTCATCATTCGATCAAACTGAACTGGGCCAGTGACGTTGAACGAATATCCCCACGAGGAGGCACCGTGCCTTGAGAGAATATTGGTCCTCATACTCACACCCGAACTCAATACAGAACTGGAATTCATTGCTAAAGAGTACGTAAAATGATCGCTGTTTGTAAAACCCCAGTATTTAATTCCTTTTTGCTATCCTCTAGCTTTATAAAAAGCCAGATTGCTACAAAATCAAATACTGTTGTCATATTTGGCCGGGAGCTTAAATCTCCTTGCCTTAAAGTCTTGATGGAGTTCAAAAATATCTCCGAGTTTCATTGGGAGAAGAATTATTTTCAACCTGCAACCTCTCTCTCAGAGGCAGGATGATGAGATTTTCTAACGACCAATGCCGTGGAAAAATGTTCGAAAACGACATTCTTCTTCTCCCATTTCTAAACTCCAGGGGGGATTTGCTAAACTAACATTGAAGCAAACCAGCGCTTTCCTCAAATTCTATGTTTCAAAAGTTCCACTCAAACAGATTCTCGGAAACTATATCATGTGGAACAGAACAGGAAAGTAGATGTTTAATGATAACGACAATCTTAACCTGTTCAAATTTAAAAAACCGATATATTCCTCCTAGGAAAAGAACGAGAAAAATTAAAGAAACCTTTGAACTTCTGGGAAAACAGGGTGAAAAGGATTTTAAAAATATAAAGAAAAAAAATTTCTTAATTTAGTCTTCTATTAGGCTACAAGTGTTGATCAATCGGTAATGTGCAAGATTGTGACAGGATCTAGCCTGTGAACAAAAAGGAAATAAAAGTTATGAAGTCGATAGAAAAAATGTTTTTTAAACGGAAGACAAAGCTGAATCGATGTTTCATGACAAAAGCAAATTGAAAAAATTTACGAATAAAATGATTGAATTTGAACGATGATTTACAGATGCTAGACAAATTTCAAAAAGCGTATGAAGCGCGGATTGAATGCGATGCAGAAACTTTGGCAGAGAGGACGGAAAAAGGATGAAACGAATAAAACGCAAAGATAAAACTACAAACAAAATGCGCCAGTAAAATGAGAGAAAGAATAAAGAGTGGAAACAAAGGAGAGAAAAACAGAGAAAGAACTAAGAACCGGAAAAGAAAGAAAGAAAGAAAGAAAGAAAGAAAGAAAGAAAGAAGGGATGAATGAATGAAGAATAAAACAGAACAAAAGAAAATGAAAAATAACAAATATAAATCCACGAGAGGATGGAGGTGGTAAAAATGACAGGAAATATGAAAGAAAGATACCTAGCTAGCTAGCTAGCTAGATAGCTAGCTAGATAGATAGATAGGAAGAAAGAAAGAAAGAAAGAAAGAAAGAAAGATAGCTATCTACCTAGCTAGCTAGAAAGAAAGAGAGAAAGAAAGATAGCTATCTAGCAAGAAAGAACGAAAGATAGCTATCTAGACAGAAAGAGAGAAAGAGAGAAAGAAAGATAGCTATCTAGAAAGAAAGAAAGACAGAAAGAAAGAAAGATAGCTATCTAGCTAGAAAGAAAAAAAAAAGAATTGAAAGAAAGAAAGAAAAATTAAGCTAGAAAAGCTAGAAAAAGAAAGAAAGAAAGAAAGAGAAAGAGAACTTTATCAAGCTAGAAAAGAAATAAAAGAAAGAAAGAAAGAAAAGATTAAAGAAAGAAAGAAAGAAAGAAAGAAAGAAAGATAAATAAAACAGAATGATAGAAAATAAAAAAATAGCAAATCTAAAGGCACGAGAGGACGGGAGTGATGAAAATGCGAGTAAAGATAGAAAGAAAGAATGAAAGAAAGAAAAAAGATTTACGATAACGAGGAAATATTTTAAAAATAAACGGTAAAATTGTCGAAGACAGAAATAAAAAAGAAAATGAAAAAAAGAAAGAAAGAAAGAAAATATGTTGTAAGATAAAGAGTAAATATCTCAAAAATGAAATGGTAAAATGGTTGAAGAAAGAAAGGAAGCAAAAAAAATAAATAAATGAAATAAAAAAAAAGAAAGAAAGAAAGAAAGATGAATAAAACAGGGGGACAGAAAAAAAAAAGATAGCAAAAAAAGGAAAGGACGGGGGAAAAGATTGAAAAATAAAGTAAATATTTTAAAAATAAAAGGTAAAATTGTCGAAGAAAGAAATAAAAAAGAAGATGAGAAAAAAGAATGAAAGAAAGAAAGAAAGAAAAAGGTGTTGTAAGATAAAGAGTAAACATCTCAAAAATGAAATGGTAAAATGATTGAAGAAAGAAAGAAAGATAGAAAGAAAGAAAGAAAGAAAGAAAGAAAGAAAGAAAAAATGAATGAATGAAACAGAAAGAAAGAAAATGAAAAATAACAAATATAAACTCGCGAGAGGATGGAGGTGACAAAAATGTGAGGAAATATGGAAAGAAAGAAAGAAAGATAGCTATCTAGCTAGAAAGAAAGAAAGAAAGAAAGAAAGAAAGAAAGAAAGAAAGAAATAGCTATCTAGCTAGAAAGAAAGAAAGAAAGAAAGAAAGAAAGAAAGAAAGAAAGAAAGAAAGAAAGAAAGAAAGATGAATAAAACAGAATGATAAAAAATTTTAAAAAATAGCTAATCTAAAGGCACGAGAGGACGGGGGTGACGAAAATGCGAAAGAAAGAATGAAAGAAAAAAGATTTACGATAACGAGGAAATATTTTAAAAATAAAAGGTAAAATGGTCGAAGAAAGAAATAAAAAAAGAAACCGAGAAAAAGAAAGAAAGAAAGAAGGAAAGAAAGAAAGAAAGAAAGAAAGAAAGAAAGAAAGAAAGAAAAAAAGGTGTTGTAAGATAAAGAGTAAACATCTCAAAAATGAAATGGTAAAATGGTTGAAGAAAGAAAGGAAGAAATAAACAAAGAATAAAGGAATGAATGAAGAATAGAACAGAAAGAAAGAAAATGAAAAATAGCAAATATAAACTCACGAGAGGATGGAGGTGACAAAAACGTGAGGAAAGAAAGAAAGAAAGAAAGAAAGAAAGAAAGAAAGAAAGAAAGAAAGAAAGAAAAAGGAATACGAAAAGTGTAGAAAAAAGAGAGGAAAAAGATGTAAATGAAAACTGAAGATGTAGCATCATAGTAGTACAAAGAAGTAAAGGATATGTAATGGATGACTAAAAGACGGATATAATGAATAACAAGCAATGAACGTTTAAAATTTGAAAAGAAGAAAGAAAGAAAAAAGAATGAAAGTGAAAAAGAAGAAAGCTTAAAAGAAAAAAGAAAAAAAATTTTTTTCTGAGAAAAGAAACAAAATCGAAAACAGCAGAATAGAGAGTGAATACTAGAAAATCAGATAGAAATTTTAAAAAAAAAGAAATAAAAAAGGAAGAAATGAAAAAAAGAAAAGAAGAAAGAAAGCAGAACTAAAGCAAGATGCTATACAATAAAAAAAAAAGCAATGTTAAAAGATAAAGATTTACTAAATAAACAAAATCTTGGAAAGCAAAATGTACAACTAATTTCCTATCACTTTCTTTCCCATGATGCAATGCGTAACGATGAATGCACTCGAAATCTGCATTTGTCTGTCATATTAATTCAAGTTGGCATTTTTATCATCAATATTTTGGAGGGGTGAAGATACGTTCCTCTCTTTCACTCGGATCAGACCCTAAGTCAACATTGATTTAATTTAGCTATCTTTTTGTTTGATTCTTTTAAATGCCACCATTTTTTTTTTATTTCTTCATCTTCAGCTCAATATTTACTCGTGTCATTCTTTCTATTACGTTTTTTATTCATTTCTTCTTTCATTTTTTTACTTTTTATTCCTTTATTTATCTATATTTTTGGCTTGTTTTTTTTTTATGCAAAAGATCATTGTCATGCACTATCACACATTATTCCACGCTAGCATTTTCTTTTTAATTTTCTGTTGTTATTTTTATTTTTTTTATTTATTTATTTCTGTTGTTAGATACTGGCCTGACGGAGCACATGGATTATTTTCTATCGATATTTTGTGAGAAATAAGCAGCGCTTTTTGTCACAGGACTCACCACGTATAGATATATGCGAATGTCTATGCAAGCTTTTCAGTTTAGGAAAGATATATATATATATATATATATATATATATATATATATATATATATATATATATATATATAATTTAATAGCGCCTTGATAAGTCTTCGTCTCGACTCAATTCCTAAATCTGACCTAAAATCAGAATTTTGACGAAAAAAGAGCTACTTGGTCGAACTGAGAACACAAAAAAAAAAACTTTCTTTTGAAAAAAACTGGATATGGAATCTGTATCACCATTTCTTTCCTTTTTTTTAATTATATTTCTCCCTCAAGTGGTAGGCGATCATTGTCCTCCACATTCTTCTTTTTTTTAATTACGTGTAACTTACCTTACATTCTTAGGAAACATAGTAGGATGGTTTCGTGATAATTTTTTTCTTATACTGTTAAATAAATGTATGGAATTTTATTTTCCAAAGAAGTCAGCACATTCAGTTAAAAGTAAAAACAAAATCATCCTTGATAATGGCTAAAATAATAGACGAAAGCATTCGGACAATATCTACATAATTTATGTCCAGAAAACCAAAAATTTATAAGAACAAAATAATTAAATAAATTATAATATAATATATATATATATATATATATATATATATATATATATATATATATATACCTGCTATTTAACTTAGGCACATTGATAAGAAGTATCCGCAAAATTACTGGTCCTGATCTGGCAATTGGGGTCCTTAGTCCTTTTTTGCAACCGACGAAAGGATGCATCTGTATGTCTTTTCTGTAAAACTTAACTGTTCAGTAACTTGTTAGTCGTTTTTAAAGAAACGTATAAAATAAGTAATTATATCTCTCTCAATCTCTCTCTCTTAATATATATACTGACCAATTAAACTACCTTAATATTAATTTTTGTTAATTTTTTATGTATTCAGATATCTGTCATTGAGCGGTATGGGATATATATATATATATATATATATATATATATATATATTTACTGCGTTAAGGAACCATTCGCGTATTGATAAGTAGGAAAAATAAATTACTTGTCCTGATCTGGCAAATCTGTCCTTTTCACCTGCGTGAAGGTTGGTTCTGTGTGTGTTTTTTTTTAAATACTTGTCATGGTAATAGTTCAGATGAATCCTTTTTCTATGGTGAAATTCACTAGACTAATAATTATCTTATATTAATTTACAGTTAAACTGGCTGTTTGTAGATTAAAGCAGTAGTCAAAACACTGTTTCTCACGCATTCCTGGCTTATTTTTTTTCCCTTCCGGCTCAACATTTTCAGCAACTTTAATTTGCAAATACATATTTAAATTCAATGTCAAAAATGTCCTGATTACTTTGTCGCATTTCGCTCATTATTAAGGTTTCTGTTTTGCTTTCTCCCACCACCCCTGTAACTCTCTGTGTTTTCTTGTAATTTGTCTTTTGGGGTGATGCCGGATTAATATATATAAGATATATATATATATATATATATATATATATATATAGAGAGAGAGAAAGAGAGAGAGATTTCAGACAGACAGACAGACAGAGACAGAGAATTAATACAAGTAAAAGGTCTGTAACTTATGTGATTGATGTTACATTCAGTACCGCGACTCCACAGTGACTTAGTCGGACCCTCCAGAAATCACTCTATCCACCCGTCAACGTTATCAGCAATTGACTGCTTATAGTTCTCGATTTTTCTCTCTGATATGCACATTTCAATGGTGCGTGTGTGTATGTGCGTAAACAATCCGCGTTTATTTTTTTTTGCGCGAAATTTATGCGGAACGTGTAGAATGTAGTGATTATTTGTCCTTTTCTACTTTTTTCATTTTACACTGACTGCTTAACCTTTTCTCTCTGTCTCTCTTTTTCCACTTTTCTTTCAATTGTAGCCATTTTGATTTTTGGTTTTCTAGACAAATTCTATCGTTGTTAATTCTTAGGCGTTCTCGTGTTTTCTTGAGTTAGGAAAATAGTCTTTCATTTTTTAGATAAATAATTAATTTCAGTTTTTAAATAATAAAGTAAATATTTATATATGTCTTCACTTCGCCATTATTTCGTTTCTTATCTGATTTAGTGGTATCTCAAGTACTATTATGTTATTAATTGTAGGAGGTTACCTTTATGATTACATTTATATTTATTATTGCTTGAATTTGTATGCATATGCTACTATTCAAACGTTTATTTGCACACATATATAAACACTAGCCTAAAAGGATCCCTATCGGGCAGCATTTAAGATATCTCTAGCCGAGAGCTCTTCATTGGGTCTTCGGCTTGTTTATGAGTTTGAGAGTCGCTAAGTATTTGCATATCCTCAGAATTGGAAACTCCCAATTTAAATAAATTTTAATATGGGTTTTCATTTTCACGGTACTTTCTTTTCCCCACTGCAACCTTTGCTCTTTTGATTGCAATCTGGTCCGCTGTTGTCGGAGATTTCTTTTTGCGAGGCATACTGCTGCCGTGTGTGATAGGCAACAATAAACTACAGAAGAACTGAAAATTGATCGCTTCATTTAAGTATTGCATTAATATTTAAGCCTATCCTTTAAAAGTTAAACAACAATTCTTCTTCCTCCACTTAACTTAAAGAGAATTTAATGTACATAGATCATTACCTTCCATACAAACAGTTATTTTTATTTCATGAGTTACTTTCGCTGGATTTTGCCATTAATTTCAATTATTCCCAAATTTATCTCCAAGTTATAAAAGTTGTTATCGTACAAAAAAACTTCGCCGCAAAAATTCATTTAAAAAAAATCCCCCAAAAATAATCACAGTAATAAAAAACTTGTGAATCCCAGATTTTCAGAATTGTAGGTCTGGATCCGCCCCAGAATGATTTTTAATTTACTCATGGATTTGGCCTGATTCCAACATGGTATAATATGTTGGATTATGTTTTTTTTGGAGTAAAGTTGAAAAAGTGTGATACACTGACATCTGCATTTATTTCTACAGATGTATATACATATATAGATTTACAGACATGCACATACATGCACATATGTATACAAAGGTGCGCACACGACCAAGTACAAACCTGTGTCTCTGTTTAAGATAAAGAAGAAATAGTAAACGTTTATTTTTTTATCTTATCCTTATCTCGGATTCCGATCCATATTTGATCTATATTTCATCATAATCATAACTCTCTCTCTCTCTCTCTCTCTCTCTATATATATATATATATATATATATATATATATATATATATATATATATGTTCGTTAAAGAAAAACAGTTCAAATGTAAAAAACTTTATGTTTCAATACATGATTAGTAATTTATCAGGCGATGGTTGCCAGCTGGTGATAAAAATGATTTTTTTTAGGGACATTTAAAAGTAAAATCGTTACCTCTTTCCTGAAAGTCAAAGGGGATGCATAAGGTACATTATACGTAACTTATGCCCCCACCCTTTAACTTTCGGAAAAGAAGTAACGATTTATTGTAAAATTTCACTAAAAATCGTTTTATGACGAGTTAACAACCATCGCCTGAAGAAGTCCAATCATAGTATTGAAACATGAAAGCTTTTCGGGTAACGATTTGAACTGTTTTTATTATAATCCCTTATAAGAAAAATATAATAATAATAATATTTTTTCTACATTGTATTGAAAACTTTTTTAAAAAGTAAATGCTACGAACTGTGGATGTTTACTCCATCTGTTCTTTCTCTCATTTGGATATGTGTGTGTGTGTGTGCTGAATTGAAAGTTTTTATAGGGCTGTAAATAAATTATAAATGATTAAATTTGATAGTAGAGATACTAAAAGAATATTCGTTAAAGCAAATTCAGTCGAGTTAAAATGTGCAGTGTAGATGTCACAAGTAAAAACTATTATTTTCATTACTGACCTGCTTTCACAATTACTTTTTCTTTCGTTAGTTTGGATAGAGTAATAGAAAGAGTGAGCTCTACACATTTGGCAAAGCGGAAGTTATGACAATGGTATTAACATAAATTGTTGCATGATTGAATTGGCGGCAAACAGAAAATTGGTGCGAAACCGGCGAAGCTAATTTAGCGTTTCTGCGTCAGATTAAATGACACGAGATGTTGCTCGACTATTTGAGCGTTACTCTGTCCATCGACTCACCAAAGTGTAACAACATCTAACTATGCATATAAATCAAGAATTTTGCTTGAACAAAAAAATTTATTGGTGATCGATATCAATACTGATATCATGAGAGAGAGGACAATGAATGAAAAGAGCAAATATTCGTGGATTTGGTATTTCGATTACATATTCGGCTTTCACATACACGTCTCTCATTATGTTGTCGCAAGGTAATAGCAAAGACTATAGACGTCACCAGCATATACACCCAGCATATACATCCTTTCCAGAAATACACTTATACTAGATTATAGAATATCCACCCGCCCACAATATACGCCCAGTACAGAATATACACCCAGCCTAAACTATATTTCCAGATCAGAATATACACCCAGCACAGAATATACATCTGTCCATACAATACTCCCTGTCCAGAATATATGCCTAGCTTAGACGATACACTCAATCCAGAATATCAACCCAGCCCAGAATATAAACTCCAGAATATAAATCCATCCCAGAATATAAATCCATCCCAGAATATTCATCCAACCCAGAATATAAAGCCTACCTAGAATATACGCCTAGCCCAGAATATGCATCCAATAAGACTATACATCCGCTAAGTGTATGCCCGGGTAGATTCAAAGTTATATAAGTATAAGTTCGAACCGTCATTTTATAAAAAATGTGTCATTGTCTCCAGAGATGATAGTCAAGGATAATGTGGATTATGGAATTCCGCAGGTCCGCAAAGATTTCTTTTGTGCATTCTACAGCTCTCCGTTTCATTTCCGATTCTTTGGTTGGCATATTGGAAGTCGGCCTAGTTATATGCCAATCTAGGAACCGGAAGCTGGATGCCTATTGATTTGGGTCCAAATGATTGGTTCTTTCTGTGATTGATCACCGTTATTTTGTGCGTGCAGTCTGCAGGCCACACTTTATTGTGAACAGCTCAATGTTGTAGCTTTCAATGGTACCAAGAACAAATTTAGTAACATTTCACCATCACCGATCGGATCCTAGGCAGTGAACGGTAGCAGCCTCAACGAAGCTACGTCATTTGAAGGTCTACTAGGATTCATTTTACACTCCAGACCTTTTTTAAAGCATTTCACACCAAGTGCCACTAGCATGCATGGGGTGTAAGTGAGAGAAAAGAGTGGGTACAGGGGTGGGGGATTGAGGAAAGGAAAAAAAGACAGGGATCAAGGCAACAGAAGATTGTAGTTATCAGAGTAGCAAGTAAGAGGAAGGGATTTCCACTGTGATGGAAAGTACGAGGAAAAAAACTGTTGGAGTAAAACATTGATAGCTAGGACACGCCATGCTAGGTTCACAGATTCGAATCACTCATATTTCTCCTGTATTCCAAACGTAAGGAGGAATATCCACTCAGGCAACTTATCCCCACCCCCTCAAAAAAATGCTACTTTTTGGAACAGTCTCCCTCGTGGATGCATCTTGAGTTCTCTACAATCTAAACCACTTCAAGTCAAGTGTCAATCGCTAATCAACCCGCCTTGTCCTCATAATCCTCACTTATATCTCTTCTTAACACTCACCTTATTCAGTATTGCTCTATCTCTAGTGGCTCTTGAGCCAAGTATTCGGTGAATTTTAGTATAAAAAAGTTTATATAACCTTAATCACTCTCTTTTTATCCAACAGTAACATTAATTAAACAATACTACATACTCTATGCCTACCTGTTTACTGCTGAAAGAGTTCACAACAGCGATTATCACCAGTTTTTACCTGTACGGTCATAACAGATGCAACACCGCCATCAGCAGCTGAAGCATAAATCTTTGGGAGCAAATCCACGGTTACTCGAGACTGACAGATACCATATATATATATATATATATATATATATATATATATATATATATATATATATATCATAAGTCATAGCATCACTATTTAAGAGGAAGAGATGTCGTTATTAAGAGCGAAAGCCCTGTCTGGGTAGAGTATAGACGAAGCTAATGTATACCCCAAGGTAGGAAGCAGGCTTAACCTCCGTCATATCCCAAGTGTTAAAGGACGGTGTTAATATGGGCTGCTTACACTAGTTGGCAAAGTTTTTGCTAAGTTTTAAATCGGATACAAGTGTCGTCTGGACCAGTCATATTGATGGGAGTTCTCATGTCAAATTTAAATATTATTGGCAATAGGGATGCCAGTGGAAGATTTCGTACCAAATATAAATATCTTCAGAAATAGCGATGCCAATGGGAGTTCTAGTGCCAAATACAAATATCGTGTGGAATAGTAATATCGGTGAGAGATCTCGTGCCAAATACAAATGCTGTCTGGAATAGTCATGCCGATGAGAGTTTTCGTACCAAACGCAATTATTTTCTGGAATAGTCACACCGGTTGGAGTTCTAGTTCCAAATAAAAGTTCCGTTTGGAATAGTCATGAAGGTTGGAGATCTCGTTTCAAATATAAATGCCGTCTGGAAAAGTCATGCCGCTGCGAGTCCTCGCGCCAATTTCAAATATTGTCGGGAAAAGTCATTCAGGTGGGATTTTTCGACCAAATGCAAGTAACGGCTGGAATAGTCATGGCGTTGCGTGTTTGTATTTACAAATGCAGTCTATGCCGGCATAGCTATGCCGGTGCAAATTCTCGTACAAAATTAAAATATTGTCCGGAATAGCCATGCCGATGGGAGTTCTAGTGCCAAATAAAATGCCGTATTGAATAGTCATGCCGGTGGAAGGTCTCGTACAAAATTCAAATATTGTCCGGAATAGCCATGTTGGTGGGAGCTTTCGTACCAAATGCAATTAATGTCTGGAATAGGCACACCGGTTGAAGTTCTAGTTCAAAATACAAGTGCCGTTTTGAATAGTCATGCCGCTGGGAGATCTCGTGCCAAATGCAAATGACGGCTGGAATGGTCATGCCTGTGGGAATTCTCGTACCAAATAACCAAATACAAATATTGTCAGGAATAGTTATGCTGGTGGGAGTTCTAGTGGCAAATACAAATGCCGTCTTGAATAGTCATGCCAGTGGGAGTCCATGTACCAAATTCAAATATTGTCAGGAATAGTCATGCCGGTAGGTGTTCTAGTGCCAAATACAAATGCCGCGTGGAATAGTCATGCCAGTGGAAGTTTTCGTGCCATATTGGATAAATGGTCCTGGCTTATCTGTTATTTACACATATCTACGACAGAAGAGACGGATTCCTAAATTTTCCAAGGGTATCAGCACTTAAGTGAATGGAATGATCTCGACACGAATTTGAACTCGTTCCCTGATCTTCCGAACAAAATTTGGAAAAAGTCAGTGTTTTCACATCGCTTAAAGAAGTGACGTTACGCCAGGTCAAACAGGTGCGTAAATAACTAATCCATATCTTTTAATTAACTTGGTGTGAATGTATTATTTAAAATATAAAAAAACTAGATTCATTTAAAGAGAATTTCACATGTAAAAAACGCAATGTGTATCCATATATA